TTGAGCTAGACAAATTTATTTAGAGTGCCAAAGGCAGTTATCTTAATAAAATAATGTGTTATTAACAATTTTTGACTAGCGAATTTTTAGTTAAATTTTGTGTAAGTGATTGACAGAAAGAGTTCCATTAATAAATTGTAAATCTTTTTATTATAATTAGTTTTCATAACTTATAGCATACTTTTTTTATTGAATAGATATTTAATTAAGAATTAAATAAATAATTTTTGAAAAATTGTCAAAATGGGCCCTTTTAATTCGAGGCACACATATAAGTATTTTTTTTAAAAAAACTACACCCTATAAAAAATTTTGTTGTTAATGTTCTAAAAATTTTTCTAGTTATTCTGTTTTTATTCAAAAAAATGTTCGGAATGAAGTCAATTTTCTTGAACATATACTGATTTTGTACCATGTTTATACCTAATATTTTCAATCAAAAAATATTTTTTTTACATTATGGTATAAAAATTATACAATATCGTCTGGCGTTTGGAAAATCGACTCTGTTCCGAACTTTTTTTAAACAATGTCTACAATAATTATGCAAACTTTTTTATAGGGATTATAATATATAAAGGGCTGTTAATCAGTATCTTTAATAAAATTTTCAATCCCAAGTGTGTGATTATAGAGGATAACTGTACTTGGAATTTTTAAATTTAGCTAAACAAACGTACCAAAACATTCAATTCTAATGAAGAACGAATATAGTCAACTGCATCCAATATCTAAAAATAAGAATAAATTAATATATATACGCCAATTATGTAGTAATAAATACATGTATATGCGATCAAATTGGTTTTCATTTTTCATATTAATTTTAATGTAGGCCGGCCAGTGATAAAAGATATACCCCAGAAAGAATCTGTATATGGCATTTAATGCATTTAAACAGCTACTCCCAATGTCCCTACGATTTTATTCGAAAAGATGAAGTTCATTCACTATTCATATACCACCTTATACGTCATCTACTTCAGTAATAAGGAGCAATAGAAAATTTGATCTGTATTCCTTAATATTCTTTAATATCCCTTAATTTTTTTCTACAACTCCCCATGAAAACCAACATTTTATCATATCTAATTAATTTATTCTAAACTAATAATAAAGACAATAACTTACACGTTGTTTTAAAAGATCATCATCTTTTAAATCACGAAGCTTGCTTAATCTCTCAGCATCTTTTACACGTATCAACAATCTGTTGAGAGTCTTCACAAAATTTTCTACTTCAAGGTCTTCGTTATCTGTCCATTCACCTGTCTCAACATGCTTACATAAAGCAGTTAAGATGGTAATAGCAGAAACTGGTTCGAATTCAACAAGAAAAGATTCCATTTTTAATTTGAGAAATAGAAAACGCAGTATAAAAAAATGATCAAAATATGTAAAATTTGTTAATGTGCGAAAAAATGAAAAACATTATAAGCAACTAATTTTTACAACATCAGGATACTGCCCTTTATAAATTTTGTTATTATCTGAATTCGGATACATTAATGAAAGAAAATCTCTATGCACACCTACGCCAATTTTTGTGCTTCGGCATTATACTACATCAGCAAAATTTATATAGAGATATATATCGATTACTAACCCCATAGATATATATCGATTCTAATCCCCCCTGCCGATTATCATCAATTATGATAATAATCGATATATATCCGGTTAATTTTCAAACAATAATGATCAAATATGAGTAAAATCGATATATAACCAATTTTGGCAAATGAACACTGTGCATTCACGTTAGCTGTGTGCGATATATTGTTGAATCCATGATCGCGTAAAATCGTATATACAGTAAATAGTATAAAACGCCTTATGGCGAAGTATTTAGTAAGTATTTAATTATATATCGGTTTACATTGATTCAATATTAATGGGTTTGCATTGGATT